TATCGTGATTTATTATTTGGTCTGGTTTTTCTCCTGGCTGTCCTTGATGCCATTAGGTTTCTCAGGGAGTGATCAGGCCTGGGCACAACTGCTATATTTTTCCTCCGGTAGGCATGTTTTCCTGTCAAACATTCTTCTAGGTGGTATAGCACTGGTCTGTGCGTTGCTGTACAGAGGTAACTCGTGGTTGCTGTGATGCTGAAGCCTGTGACAGTGATGTGCCAATCGTGGTAACGGGCACCCATGGTGGACAGTGTTGGCTGGAGCTTCCCGACTAAATCAAGCCTGGAAGCAGGAGCGGTATCCACTTCCGAAATGGCTTGTCTCCAAAAACTCTATGTACGAACAGTGCTCAGGCCTTTCATTCATATGGTCGCTATGAGTCGTCTACAACTCGATGGCACCTAACAACAACAACAAGGCATCTCTAGTCAAGGACCACTTTTTTTTAAAATTTTTATTTCATTTCATTACTTTTTTGTGTGTGTACCGTCAAATCAGATCTGACTGATACAGGAGGAGATTTTCCTCCTTCTCCAGCAGAGCATCTGGTGGATTCGAACTGTGTACCTCTGAGATTGCAGTGCAGCTTCTTGCCACTAGGCCACCAGAGCTCGCCTCAAGGACCACTTTAAAGTGCCAATGAGCAAAAGTGTCAGTATAAAGACTGGTGTGCCTGACCCAAACCACTACTCCTCACTTCTCATTTCCACATGAAAGTTGGACAGTGAATAAGACTTAAAGAGTGATGTTTTTTAATTGTACTAGTGGTGAAGAGTATAATATTTCACAGACTGCCAAAAGAACAAATGACTCTGTGCTGGAAAAACTGCAGCCTGAGTGAAATAGCTCAGTCACAAAAGGACAAATACTGCAATAATGCCACTGTTGTAAAACAGGACTGACATCAGGGTTGGGGAGATACTGAGAAAGATGGGATGACTTACGTAAGCTGCAATGAAATATATGACGGAGAGAATTGTTGAAAAGGGATATATAATTAGGTGTTATTGTCATGACAGGAGTCCAGAATGAAGGCTGCACAGTAGAATGGACCTGGGGGGAGGGATTGTATGACAATAAAGTTTCTTTTACTTTTCAAAATGAAGGCTGCATAGTGGAATGGACTTGGGGGTAGGGATTGCATAACAATGAAAGAATTTTTCTTTTACTTTTCAAAGAGAAGACTGAACTGGTGGGGGGAAGGTTGGGCAGGGAGAAAAGTGCAACAACGAATGAATGGAAATCCAGTCTCTGTAAACTTTCATTAAAATTAATAAAGAAAAAGAAAAAAAAACGTGCAGCCAGTGTGCTCCTTAGAAGCGAAAATTGTGAGACAGCATCTCATAATACTTTGGGCAAGCTGATGGGAAGGACCGGTCCTTGGAGAAGGACATCATGCTTGGAAAGGTGGAGGACTGGTCAAGGAGAGGAAGGCCCTCACAAAGATAGATTGATAGACTGCACCAGTGGATTTAAGAGTCTCAGGAGGTACAGAGTGAGCTAGTTGGGCTGCACCAGTGGATTTAAGCACCAGAGATTGTGATTATAGTGTGAGATTGAGCAAAATTTTGATCTGCTGAACATAAGGTGCCTAGAAGCTGGAGCTGATTCCAGGTACCAAGTAACAAGAAGTGCTGAATCTTGTACCAAATGCTTGGCATACTCTAAAGAGATCCTTGCCCTCAAAATGCCAAACCAAAGCCACAGTAACAGGGCACTTGACTCTCACTGAAGTGCTTGTGATTAAAAAAAGGGGAAAACAACAGGTGTTGGCTCAGATGCAGAGAAACAGAACCCCTCACTGTGTGCTGGTGGGACTGTCAGAAAGCAACGTAGCTGTTCTGCAGAAAGTTAAAGCTAAGATTACCATGTTGTTGCTGTCGGGTGCCACTGAGCCAAGTATGACTCGTAGCGACTCTATGAACAACAGATCTGAAACCTCTCCTATCCTGGGCCATCCTCACCGTCTCTGATACACTTGAGCCCACTGTTGCCGTCACCATGTCAATCCATCTCGATGGAGGTCTTCCTCTTCTTCACTGACCCTCTACCCTTCCAAGTATGATGTCCTTTTCCAAGGCACAGCCTCTCTCAGCAACAAGTCCAAAGTATGACACACAAAGCTTTGCCATCCTTGCGTCCAAGGAGCATGCCGGCTGCACCTTTTCCAAGACATAGCTGTTCATTCTTTTGGCAGTCCATGGGATATTAATTCAAGCCACAGTCTTTTCAATTATTTGCTATGCATCTGAGACCTGGAGAATGAATAAGGATGACAGAAGAAGAATGGGTGCTTTCATATTGTGGTGTTGGAGAAGAATACGGATTACCCCATGGACCGCCAAAAGAACCAACCAATATGTCTGTTCTGGAGGAAGTGTATGCAGAGCGCTCCTCAGAGGTGAGGATGATGAAGCTTCATCTCGCACGCATTGGGCACATTGTCAGGAGAGGCCTGTGCTTGGAAAGATGGAAGGTCAGCAAGAGAGGAAGGCCCTCAACAGGATGATTGACACAGTAACTCTAACAATGGGCTCACACATCCCAGAGATCCTGAGGCTGGGAGCATGGTAGGGCACGGTTCAGATCTATTCATAGAATCACTATGAGTCAAAATCAACTCCATGGTCCAGAATTAAGGTTGCATAGTGGAGTGTACTCAGGGGATGGGAGGGGTGCAGGGGAATTGTATACCAAAGAAGGAATTTTTCTTTTGCTTTTCAAAGAGAGGAGCAAACTAGGGTGGGGGGGGGTGTCTATAGGGCTGGGCAGGGAGAGAAGTGCAACAATGAATGAACGAAAATCCAAAAATCTCTGTAAATGTTCATTAAAATTAATAAAATAAAATTTTCAAAAAGTCAACTCCATGGCAGTTAACAACAAACTGCTACCGCTGGTCTTCAATGCCTCATCCACTACACTATGACCTAGATAATAAACAAGCCAGAGGAAAAATGTAAAATTTAGTCGTAGGCACATCGGGACATCCAGATATCTCTTTCCAAAAACATGAACTCATGTCTCTATCACAAATAGGGAAATCCCGTCACCACAAGCAGGCTGTTGTTGGGCGCCTTCGAATCGTGTATGATTTATAGTGACAGTATGAACAACAGATCTGAACCTCACTCTAGCCTGGACCATCCTCCTTGTGATCTCTGGTATGCTTGAGTCCATTCCTACAGTCACGGTGTCAATCTATTTAGCCAAGGGTCCTTCTTTCTTTCCCTGATCCTCCACCTCTGCCAGCACAGTGTCTTTTTGTTGTTGTTGTGTACTGTCAAATCAGATCTGACTGGCACAGGAGATTGCCCTTCCTCCAGTGGAACACCTGGTGGACTCGAACCTCATGCCTTCGGGATTGCAGCACAGCTTCTTGTCACTAGGCCACCAGAACTCGCTCAGCATAGTTTCTTTTTCAAGGATTGGGACCCCCTGATAACATGCTCAAAGGATGTGAGACCCAGTTTCACCATTCTCACTTCTAGGCAGAGGGCAAGAGAAAAGGAAGGATACCCTCAATGAGGTGGAGACCAAATTATTGGGCTTAAAAGAACAATGATTATGAAGATGGCACAGGACTGGGCAACATTTTGTTATTATTTGTTGGGGTACCATGAGCTGATTGCAACTAAACCATGGGCAGGGCAGGTGTGAACTGACAGGTATGAAGGAACTTTCTGGGCTAAGATGATGTTCTGCATTTTGGTAGAAGTGGGTTTCCTAACTTGTGTATATATCTTTATAAAAATTCCGTGAATGTCACTTAAGAGTTGTGAAAGTCAATGTCTATAAATTGTAACTTAACACAAAAATGAGCTATAAACATTGAAGTCTAGTTAAAGTTGCCAGAGTTGTTAGAAATTCAGTGTTTAATGTCTTCCAATTTCTTTGCTTTGCATGGCTGGAGCGATAAGATATGTAACAAAGCAAAATCCTGACAGCATCAACTAGTTGGCTGGTATATGAACACTTACTTGCTGTACAATTCCAGGTTAAGAATGATCCAGAATGGAATAATGTTAGGTAGTGATATATATAAGTAGCCCTGATGGTGTTTGACTGCTAACCAAAAGGCTGGCCATTCTAACCCACCCAATGGCTTTGCAGGAGAAACACCTTACAATCTGCTCCCATTGAGATTTACCTGATGCCATGGTGTCAGTTCTAAAACAGAGCAATCCACCAAGACAGAGCAGAACTGCCCAGCCGGTTTCCAAGGCTTGTGTGACTCTTTATTGAAGCAAATGGTCACAGCTATCTTCCTCGGGGTGGCTGGTGAGTTTCAACTACTGACCACCAAGGATCGACAGCCCGGGAACAGTATTGGGGCAGTTTCATTCTGCTATACAACGTCATCTGAAGTTGATTTTAACACCAAGAGCAGTGACAAATCTTAAGGAAAACAAGGTAAAGGGACAAAGAAAGGGAGGAAAGTATTTGGTAAGTGCATGGTAAGTAACCAAGTGAGGATTTGCACATGAATGAGAAGAATCACCAACGTGGAGAGTTACTAACGTGGAGAGTCTCCATCGAAAAAGGTGGACCTCTAGGTGCAAAAAACTGTTCACAGTCCCCGAAAAAGGTCATTTATGGGTGGGGACAGAAGCCAGAGTAAAGTGCTTTGACCTATGACGTTATTGGGACGACAACACCTCCTGCAGCGTAACATCACCTGGACGTAACTCCATTTCCCTTTCCAGGCGGATCCTCCTGTAGTTCGGAAGGATTTAAATTTAGTTTTTCATTGGTTCCTCCCTCCGTCAATCCATCTTATCCCTCCTAGTTTTCCGCCCCTCCTTCCTAGCTTTGCATCTGATAGGCTGATGCCGCTGTCAATCCAGAAAGATCCGCATTCCTTCCGCCTTTCTCCAAGAGACAGAAGGCTAAGAGGGCGGATCCCAGGCGGTGCCCACCCCGAAGCTCTGTTTCTGCCTCTGATTGGCTAGGATGGGCGCCTGTCGCTCCGGCACCCGCCGCTGACTGGTCACCAATCAGCCGCTCTGTGCGGCTTCGGCTCCGCCCCCGCTGGGTGTTTGTGGTGGGGCTGCGGAGTCGCCGATCCCGCCGGAAGCGCCAGGACAATGGGGACCCGGGACGACGAGTACGATTACCTATTCAAAGGTGCGGTCGGTGGGGCACCCACCGGCGGGGGTGCGGCGGCGAGGCAGCGGGCAGGTGGGCCAAGGCTGTGCTTGGGGTCGCCGAGGCCAGGCCGCAGGCCGGGGCCTGGGACCCAGCAGGTCTGGCATCCGGGAAGGCTGAGCGGGTCGGGTTCTGTTAGTTTCGGGCCACAGTGACCGGCCGCACGGAGCGGACAGCAGGGAGAGGCCAGGGGGCCCAGGATGCGCCGGGGCGGGGCCCGGGCCCTGAGGGGGTGGGGCCGGCAGCCGTGGGAGAGGCCGTTGGGGCGGGGCTTCCTGAGGGGGCGGGGTCGCCCGGGAATTGGCGGGCCTGGACGGGGCGGGGGCGGGGCTGCCGCGTGGTGGGCGTGTCCCAGCGGTGGCCTGCATCCCAGCTGATGGGGGCTGGACCCTGTGGCCGCCAGTTGTAGGCTGTGCCCAGGAGGGAAGGGACAGATAGCGGTGGTGGGCGGGCGGCTGCCCTGAGTCCTCCCTGCGGGGTAAGTTGTTGGGGGTCCCTGGACTGGAGTGCAGATTCAGAGGAACGCGTGCGTCTGGACCAGTGTGTGCTGATGAATGAACATCAGCGGTACTAACCCCTGAAGGCTTGATGGCACTCACCCAGTTATCTGCCTTTTCTGACCACTTTGAGTCCAGGAACCCTTTTAAATCCTTCCCACCAGCCAGTGAAGAGAAGGTGCTGTCAGAGTGTGTTGTCTCGCATACTTGGAGCATGTTGCTAGGAGAGGCTATTTCTTGGAGAGAGATCATGCTTGGGAAAGTTGAGGAGTGATGAAAGAGAGGAAGCCCCTCAACTAAGTGGATTGACACAGTGACTGTGTCAGAGATGATGAGAATGACCCAGGATAGGACAGAATTCAGGTCTCTTGTTTATAGGGTCCCATGAATCCGTACCCCGCAGGCCTGTCTTTCATTGTTTTTGCTCAAACATTCTTTTTTTTTTAATTTTTATTTTATTTTTTTATTTTTGTGTGAGTGTACCGTCAAATCAGATCTGACTGGTACAGGAGGAGATTGTTCGTCCTTCCCCGGCAGAGCATCTAGTGGATTCGAACCGTGCGCCTCTGGGATTGTAGTTGCAGCTCCTTACCACTAGGCCACCAGAGCTCCCCTTCAAACATTCTTCTAGGTCGTATAGCCCTGGTCTGGCCACTTGCCGTACAGAGGTAACTCGTGGTGGCTGTGAAGCTGAACACTGTGACACTGATGTGTTAAATGTGTTAATGGTTGCCCATGGCAGACAGTGTTTGGTGGAGCTCTCCGATTAAAACAAGCTTGGAAGCAGGAGTGGCATCCACTTCCATAATGGCTTGCCTCCAGAAACCCTATGAACCTGGAGAGAGGATGAAAGTCACACAAGTGTTGAGGACTCTCATTCATAGGGTCGCTATGAGTCGCCTACGACACGACGGCACTTAACAACAACAACAACATGAGTCATATTAGACTCGATGGCACCTAACAACAACAACAATCCTGTGAGGTGGTTATGATTCTCTCTCTTCACTGACTAGGAAACTGAGTCCCAGGGAGGCAGGAGCAGCTAGGAAATGTTGGAGGTGGATTTGAGCTCGGGTCTGGGGAGTGCCCCTTGAGAGACTTGGTGCAGGAATGAGACATGAGCCTGTTACATTACATCCCATCACCTTCAGGCTGATGGCACAGGAATCAGCCAGTCCTCTTGGGATCAGTGTGACCTAGTTGGGTCTGGCCACCCATTGTTGGTCAGGACAAGCTGGGAAGCCCTGTCACTCACCCCTCAAGCTGGGGAGACCCCCTCCATATTACCAGAGTCCCTGGTTTTCCCACTGGACCACTTTAGGGGTCACAGGTTTTACAGGAGTCCCCAAGTGGTCCAAACAGTGAGGGCTTAAGTACTAAAGGAAAAGTTAATGGCTCATACCCACTCAGAGGTGCCTGAGAAGAAAGGCCTGGTGATTGTCTTCCGAAAGGTTTCAGCCCCGAAAAGCCTAAAGTCCTACTCGGACATATGTAGAGTAGTGGGGGTCAAAAGCGACTCCATAAGTCCTTGGTCTGGCTTTTTTTTTTTTTTAAATTGTTTTAAATTTTATTATTATTTTGTGTGTGTATTGTCAAATCAGATCTGACTGTTACAGGAGATTGTCCCTCCTTCTCCAGCAGAGCGTCTGGTGGATTCAAACGGTGGTCTGGCTTTTGGCTTTTCGCTTTGCATCACCTTGTACACCAAATTGGGCCATGCCAAGTCCTTGCCACCCATGCTGGACTCCCAGGAGTGGCCTCCCTGGGAAACCAGCATTGCCTGCTGCCTGTAGTCTGATGGGCACTGCCAACCCAAAAGCATGTGGCCTGGATCTACCAGCTGCTTCTCAGGAGAAAGATGGTCAATAAATCTCCTGTGTCCAAAAATCCACTGGAGGGTTAGCTGCGAGTTCTGAAATGACAATACCTAACAACAACAGAAACTCCCTCACCAGCTGAGGGCATCTTGTGCCCAGGGGCGTCTGCGTCTGCGTCATTGTGTTTACGGTGTCATTCAGCTCCTCTGGGGCTAGGCCCAGGGTCCTTGAGATGAAAATTGTGGGGTGCAGCGCTCCCTAACCAGAGTTTTCTGTGCAGCAAAAGGCTCCTGAGTGAAGGTGCCCATACAAAGGCCCAGTGGCATCACAGCCCCCTGGGCTCAGGGACCTACGAGGCCCTGCTGCCTTCTCAGTCTTACCCTAAAGCTGAGGGTTCCGTGGGACGACCTGTGGGGACCAGTGATCAGGGCTACACTGCCTGGCAGGGGCCACTTCTCTCAGTTCCTAGGCCAGCTCGTGGTGTGTCGGACACTCCCTCCGATCATTCTCGACCTTTCCCTGTTATAAATAACCCAGCTTGTCATCTCTGCCCTTTGCGCTCTTTCCTTGAAGTGTGTTCTCAGAAGTACAGTTACTGGGTCAGGGGCAGCGGCAGGGCCACGCAGTTCCTGGGACGAGTCCCCAGAGTCCACTTGCTGGAAACACCGCCCAGCTTCTTGGGCAGCCAGCAGGGTAGGGTAGCTGCGGCTGCCCTGCTGGCCTGCTTTCACCAGCAGGTGCCCCGCTGACCTTCGCCAACCGGCTGGTGGTGAAAGTGCAGCCAGCGTGGGAGGCGTTTCCCGGCTGGACCCTGCTCCACGGTCACGGAGTGCTTGTCTGTAAATTGACTCGATTTGTCCCTCAGGTATATTTTCTGGAGATGAAACTGATTCTGGCTCATGGCGCCCTGCGTGTACAGAGAGGATCCGAGTGCCCGAGGATTTCAGACCCCTCTTAGAGGATTTGAAGCCGTGGACTTTTTTTTTAATTTCATCTTATTTTTTTATTCTTTTTTTTAATTAATTTT